TTGAACCTCTCGCGAGGCTTGCGTGCGAGTGTGGCCGATATCCCGAGAGCAGAATGGAGGAGAAGGGATTGCAGCGTGGTCACTCCCCCTGGGAGGTGAGGGGGAAGTGATTTCTCGCTTTCTGTCTGTCTGTCTCTCTGGCAAGTGCATATGCCTGATAGCAAAACAACCTCTGGGAAAAAAAGAAAAAGAAAGATATGCCAGGCTAGGGGGCCAGCAGATGGCATAGTGGTTACACCACTAAACTCCCACATGGCCAGCTGTGATTCAAGTCCTGGATCCAGTTGCTTGAAAATCACACCAGGCACCTGAGTGTGTGCCCAAGATCCTGGGAGGAGAATGAGGAGAAGGGATTGTGGTATGGCCCCCCGCCGGGGAGAGGGGGAGCTGATTTCTCACTTTCTCTTTCATTGCCTCTGTCCCTCTCTCTCTCCCTGGCAAGCGCCACCATCCTAAGACAAAGAAAAAAGAAAAAAATATGCCAAGCTGGCCAGCGGTGCGGTGGTTAAGGTGCCTGGATTTCACAGGGCTAACGGCATGGACCACATTCGTGACCTAGGGGCATGAAAAGCATGCTGGATGTGTGTGCCCCAAAATCCCCAAAGGAGAAACGGAGAAGGGGTTGCAGCACGACCATCCCCCATAGGGATTCCCTTTCTCTCACTTTTCCTGTCTGATGAGCACATGCAGACTCTGGCAAATTAAAAAAAACAAAACAAGCAGTATGCCTAGTTCAGATACAGCTTCCTAGTCAATCGAGAGAGCACCTTGAAAGGAAGAGTGGCGATCCAAGATGAAAGGCATAATATTCAAGGGATTTGGGAATGAAAAGAATTAAGAATAAGGGGCCAGGGTTAGCAGATGGCATGGTGGTTAAGGTGCTGGATCCCATGTGGCCAATTCCTTAGTTCAAGCCCCAAACCCGACAGCTTGAAAAATACTCTGTGTACGTGTGCCCCAAATCTTGAGAATGGAGAAGAGATTGCCGGGTGGTCATATCCCCCTGGGAGGTGATTTCTCACTTTCCCTCTTTGTCTCTCTGTCTCTCTCCAGAGAGCATATGTGCCCTATGACAAAAAATAATAAAATCTACTTTAAAATTTTAAGCAAATATGGGACCAAAGTCAGTAAGGAGAAGCTGAGTGTCTGCGAACAGCCCTAGGTGAAGTTAGAAGCCAGTGTACAGTATAAACTTCAGCAGGCATGCATATAGTCCAACGCTCTGTACACATAAACCATATATAAAAGCAGTTCATTAGGGAGGTTAAAAAACACCTTCCACTTCATGTCAAGATAAAATTACGGTGATGTGACTAAAGGATCCTGAGGAGTATGAGGCCATTAATGCACTGAAAAACTACTATAGGGCCTACTGCTGGGTGGCATCAAGTACTAGGTACAAACTGGCCTAAGAAAAACAAAAATACAACCTTGTCACTTGTTCCCTGCTGACATGGAGTTCTCAATGTGGTCAAGGAGGCGGGCAGTAACAACAAAACACACAGCAACACGGATGCACAGATCCTCAACTGTAGTAAATACTATGCAGGAAACAAGACAGGACACCGACAGGAATGGGGGGCTCTACTTACATCCGGTGCTGGGGAGTGACTTTTCAGGTCATCCTGTGTGAAATCAGAAAGCCTAGAGACCAGGACTGTGTGGACCAACTGGAGAAACTACCAAAAGATCAGTCCTGGTTTTCACTGTGAGGTGAAAGGCCAGGTAGACAGTAGGCCACCTCGGGGAATGGAAGGATATGGGGTCTCCGCAACCGCTCCCCGGGAGGTTCTTTCCTCTGCTTCTGTGGCCATCCCACTGCTGCCTTGAGATGCGTGTTGATAGGTCGGGAAACTTACTTTTCCACCAAGTCACTGAGGCCGACTGACTGCTGGAATAGACCCGCAGAACTTGAAGGAACCCTCCGACCTTTGCTCCCTGACTACGGGGAAACTCCTACTCTGCACGGCTGTGTGCTGTTCCCGGCTCCTGCCTGGACGCTGCCCTGCCGGGCTCCTGTCCGTTTCCTGTTACCTGTCCCGGGCACCTTCTCCAGGAAGCCTGCCTCCGTGAAGTCCAGTAAAGGATGCGGCTCCCACGCACAATCTGGAACCCAATCAGACCCACCCTAATATTTATTCTCAGTCATTCAACAGTTGTTCCAGGGGCCCCACTCTGAAATACTCGGGTCATCCTCGGAGCCCAACAGCGCGGGCTCGGACGCTGCTGTTGATGGGCTGAAGCATCCACCCTGCTGGGCAGAGACCGAACACGCATTTCAGTCCAGCAATGGGCACAGGGCACCCGCTCAGGCCCCTTCTGCAGGGGGAGGCACGGCTCACAGAACCCATGTCAGCGAGCACTTGAGACAGACAGGAAAAGAAAACTGCAGAACAGGCTCTAATTTTCTGTCGTCTTAAAGGAAGGTGCGTGTAGGACAGACGTCGGCCAAGGCCACCCAAACGGAAGACCCGGGCAGGACCCCAGGCCTCTCCGCCTATCTGAAAGGAGAGGATACCCACCGCAGACCCGAAGGAAGGAATCGAAACGACGACGGGCGTCAGGCGGCCTGCGGGGTTCCAGGCCCGAAGTAAGCGCCGGGGAACGGGGACATAGAGGAGGCGGGCGGAGGCTGAGTCCGGCGGCTGCGATCCGCCCACCCCGCCGTCCTCACGGTCAGGCCGGGCTCTGGAGCTGCGGGACCTGGCCGCCCCTCGCCCAC